TTAGATTTTTAATAGAAAATGTTATCATTTTATAAAATTCAATAAATAATTTATTCCAAGATTTTTTATTACTTTTCGAACACATAGTGAACATCCCACCCAATTTATAAGGTTTCATGCTTTTACACACATCTGTACATACTCGTATGTTTATTTTGACTGACAAGTACAAATCTAATTCTAAAACATGAAATCGATTATAATCAACAACCAGATAGTACTACAATTTTAACCATTGAGAAAACCTAAATCTGAACCCAAGTCAATTCCATAGCGAATAAGGAAAAACATAATATCCAATCAAATAATAACAATAACTGAAAAATTACAGCATTAAAATCATATGGAAGAAGTTTGTTATACATCATGATAAATGGTATAATCATTGATAAAACGAATAGAGAATATATGGGTTCATATGCATACTTTTACACAAATTTACACGTACAAACTTAATACATTCATATAAAGAATAGAAAATACATAAGTTTTTCTTGTTTTAAATATATTAAGGATATTCCTTAAGTTCAATATAACATTATTTTGTTTTAGAAAATTTCATCAAATAGATCAAAAGGGTTTGAAAAAATCTTTATAATAAATCGAAATAATATAATACAAAATAAATAATGTTAAAGATGTACGATAAATATTAAAAAACAAAAGGGAAGATAATTTCATTTAAAAGAAACTAAAGTTCTACCAATAATCATTTGCTATTTGTAATGTGGGGCTACAGATCCAAATTGGCATGAAACCAATTTCAGTTTTCTTAGCAGGAAAACCATATTTCTACTAAAACATTTCATATTCAACACCGAGTTCTTTCCGATGGAAATGAACTTCTGTATTGTGGTGAAGCGTATAATAAACAATTTTTAGCGAGATGTCGGGCTTTCGATTTGTGTGTATACATTCATCTGTCTCAATTTCGGCTAATTCTTTTTAATGAAAATTTAAATTTGATTGAGTTTATTTCTGCTATGCCACCAATTGAATAACTTTTCAAGGCCTCGAAACTAGAACTTTACTATGGGCTAATTTTGGAATTTGGATCATCAAACAAAAAATATTCAACAGATTGACTTGGAGTTTTATGAATAAACTTCGTGTAAGTTAAATAAAATTTAATATGTATTTGAATAATACACGTGTAAAAATAATAAATTTTTTGAGAATATGAGGGCTTTTAAAACTGAATATTCATTAGAAATCAGGGCCGATTTTATATTTCTTTCCATATTGGTGGAACTAATTGATGGAATTTCTTAAAATTTAATATATGACTTCTATTAATCTATAAGAAGTAAGAATTAAATTTCCATTTTCTAGATATTTTAACTAAGATCTTATACTAGCGTTATTAAAATGTGAAAAAAATGTTCTTAAAGGGCATTTTCATAATCTTGTGCAATAATCTCGCACAAGCCAGAAAACTTATTTTATATGCTGTCCAAATCATGTTATGCATATAGATCTATAATACATTATCTTATAGCATTAGCATTAAACGTTAATATAGCGAAATAATATAAAAATGTCATCTTTTATATTGAATTTAATGAATCATTAAAAAGAAAGAGAAAGTGTAAGACCAACAGAGATATTATGTTAAGAGCATAGACAAAATAAAACCTCGATAACAATTTTTGATCATTTGATTTCAATCTTCATTTATTTTTTTATTTTTCTCATTTAGGTTTTTCTATACCACAATTCTTTGTCCATTTATAATATGTACCAGTAAATATAATAATATTATGATTATTTTAATATTATATATAAATTATATACATAATATACCCGAATATAACAGATTATAAGTACATTTGAATAATATTGGAGAAAATAAAATATAAAAATTTCATTATAATAATCATCGTTATCAATTTAATCAATAGTCATCCTTTTATATGTAATCAAATTCAAAATAAGAAAATATATTGTATCCTGTATGTACATATATAATGAATGTGAATATTAAGAAATCAAATTCAATGAAATATTGAAATATAATAATAATAAAGTAAATTTTGATTCACATATACAAAAAGATTTAGGGGATATAAATAAAAAAAATGAATAAGTAAATAAAAATAAGGAATAAATAAAAATATAATCAGATATTTAGTTAAACCAAGCATAATTTCAGTATACCCGAAATTTACCAACAAAGAGAAACAACAAAACGATTTTTATACTCAATTAAGTTTTTCTGAGGTCATTCTACTTGTACATAAATACATATATATGTGCATAAAAACCAAATAGAATCAAAATATTTTGCAAAATTTTACAATATGCTTGAAAATAATTATAAATACGAAATTTTACTTAAAAAATTACATTTACATTTATTAAACAAATATTTTGTATTTAAAACAAAATTAACACCATGATAACAAAAGGATAATAAAAACTGAAGTTCACTCATTTATGCAAAATTTTAATTAATTACCGCTTAAATATTTTCCAATAAAATAATATTTTATTTATAGAATAAAATTTCATATGAGGTACCTCATGTATCCTCTTTCAAATTCAATCAAGCCAGAACAATAAAAAATATTTTATTAATAGCTCCTCCTCAGTAATTGAATTAAAGTCTACAACACAATGTATACATATTATTGTACATTACAATGTAGATGTATACAATTTCTACATCAATTAATTAAAGCTTGAACTTCTTGGTAAGAGAAAGAAGTAATTTAAATTCCTTGCAAAATACGGCTTAGACTATTTAACAGACTCAATATATAAAATCCAAAATGAAAAAAATTCAGAGAAAAAATTTATAATATTTGTATTGTATGCATAAATTAAGTAAAGTAAAAAGCTTAGAATTTGATATTGCCTTTGTAAATCGTAAGATAAATAATATGAAAAATATAGCAAAAATTTACATACTTATGTATATAGCATACGTAGAATGCCAACAGCTTTGCTCTGCTCAGTTTCACATCACCCAACTAAATTCGTTTGCTCCGGCTAAAATGATTTTTGTATTTTTTACAAAAAAAAATTGTCTTCATTTTCTAAAAGAATTGCAAATTTATTCTAACTTCGCATATAAAATTCCACAAAATCATAAGGTGGACGTTACAAACCATACGAAATGGTGTAAGCGACATTAATAATTATTTTATGTTAAATAAACCAAAAACTCATCTTTAACTACAAAAGAAATAAATATCAAGAATATAGTTGGATCAAAGTAATGGTTTGTGAATCAGCATTTTTCCTTTGAAAAAGTGGAACTATTTTTCCGCGCAATAATTATCACACCTACTTTCTTCCAAACAATTTTTTACTCAAATCATTTAGAAATAATAAGTAAAAATTAAAATTGATTAAAAAAGCAAAATTTGCATACTTTTATGAGAAAAGAAAAAAACATCAGAAAGAAACATTAACATATTGTTTATAATTAACACATTGGATGGTTGCGTGAGTTAAGATAAATAATTTTAATTTTTGATGCCAAGAGATTTTCCATTAGCTTTTTGCTTTCTTACAAATTTGGAAAATTTTACGGTTCCAGAGATATAATTTAAAATTTTACTGATCTTGAGAATTATTTATTAATGTGTAGAAGCTGTTAAATGCCGGACCCCTACAACTTATTACATAAGACGGACGAGTACATGGACAGAGTGAAATTACTAAGCAATTTCTTCAAATTATGTTAGAAAAGTGCTAAAAAGAATGAAAATAGTAATAGCAATGATAATAATTGAGACAGCAGAATATAGAAAAAAGAACAATAATATTAATAGCAATAATAATAAAAAACAGTAATAAGTATGAAGGATTTATTTTCCATATCTCTATATAGATAGAGATGCCCAATTCTAGGTTCCTATTTCTATGACATTTTTTATACAAACTCTGCTTACTGCATAGCTTTCGTTTTATCTCTTTTACCTCCCCCTTGCTATCTTCAATATTTTTTACAATTATTGTTAATTTTGTTTGCTTTCTATTCTGTGTTTTATATATTGTTATTTCCCATTTTTACTGTTATTTCTATTATTAACAATTTTGCGTTTTCTATCTTAGGTTTAGTATAAACACAAAAACAAAAAATATCCTGATATATGTAAGAAAACTTAATATTGGTGGCACATGTTAAAACAGTTAAAATAAATTATAATGTAATAAAACTAGAAAAGAGCTAAAAAAAATAAGTCTATTAAATAGAGTAGTGATGATTGAAGAGAGAGAAAGAGAAAGAGCAAAAATAAAATTATTTTCCTATTTTTTTTTATTTTGGGATTTTATTTAATTTTTACAATTTATTTCACACAATTTTTATTGAAAATTTTGGAAAATAAAAATAAGGAATAAGAAAATGCTTGTTAGAAGGACATTTTTATATAAACGATAGTAGGACATTCTCCATTTTGTTGATATTATTTCTATTGATTTCATTTTTGTTGATTTTACCATAAAATTCATTTTCATGTGGGCACTTAGAATAAAATACCAAAATATATTTTTTAAAAAAATATTATTTTGCAGTAGAAGGAAGAATACTAATAGTAAATATTAGGGACGATAGAAAATAGAACAATAAAAAGAAAATTAAATAAGGGTTATTGTTTTTTTTACTCTCTAAAGAATGTTAATTTCTATTTAAGTGTTGAAGAGTTGAGCAATATTATACAATAATACTTCAATATTACTGGTATTTATTTATAATTAGTTTCTCAAGGAAGCATTTTCCATAGTAAATATTTCCTTAACATGTTCCAGTTGAACTTTTGTAAATGTGATTAAATTTAGTTGAAATAATTTTATAATGGGAAAAATTAAATATTTGCTTAAAATGAGAGCTTAGTAGTTTGTGATTATTCCTGAAAGAAAATTTCGCTACATCTGATAAAAAAGCACTCTTTACATATTTAGGAACCAAATAAATTTTAAATTTTGAAAAAATTTTTGTTAATATTCAAATATATTTAATAAATAATATGAAACTTTTCTTATCATTGCAGAAATACGGTTGATATTGTCTACGAAGTCACCATACGCACAATTTGTGTTCGAATATAATTCACAATTTTAATAAGCTTTCCAAGCATCCTGCTTTATGTATGTAATTTCCAAATGGCAAGCAATTTCAACTAATAAGTTGCCACAACAAGCATTACTTTAAAACAATTTTAAGCACATTGAAACAAAACAAAAAAATTACTTACATAATATCATCCAGATGTTGCCAAAATAGTTGAAAATTTTATTATAAATGAAGGAAATTTTTATTGAATAGGATTAGAAATTTCATATTACTAGAAACGTAAATGCCATAAAACGAAGATTTCGATTATCATAAAGTATCAATGGCGTAATTCAATAATTTTAATTAAAAATAAGTTATCCATATTTACATCAATCATAACTATTTTTATTTAACATTTAATTATTAAGGATTAATTTCTTTCAAACAAAAAATTAAATTGTAATAAAATCAAGAAATTATAGCACGAGTCTAATTTAATTATTATTACATATCTTTACAAGAAAAATAAAAAAACAAAAACAAAAAAGGAGTAATTATAGGCCATATTATTGCATATTTAAATAGAAATTAAAAAACAAAGGACGAGTTCACAAGCAAACAAAATTAAACATAATGGCATTCATATGGCGCCGTCGATCAACTTCAATTGTTAAAGTTATTATAGTACTAACTGCAATATGGTTTACAATATTATTTTTCTTCTATTCTGATGATAATCATCGTAGCGGTTTAACAGCATCCAGTCGATGGCATAATATAGCATTAGGATTAAAAAGTGCCCCAACAATTAATAATCAAAATAGTGGTTTTAATAGTGGTATTGAAACAGCTATAAATAGTGGTAATGATAATGATTTACGTGATGGTGCTGAATCTGTGATTAATAATATTGTTGTACATCCGCATGAGAAATTAAAATATAAAAAAATTACAACACAACATCCATTAGCTGCCGAAGATAACAATTCAAATACAATAGTTGAAAGTAAAGTTGATAGCACAAAAAAAAATAACAATCATAAAAAAATTGATGATGATGGTAAGTAAAGAAAATAATATTTTTTTTTTTGAAAAAGCATCATTTAAAATTTTTAATACTAGTAATCCGGTTTGTTACAATCTTTTGCTTTAAGCCTTAAATATTATTTTAAATCTTACTTATTAATTTTACAAAGCGAATCTTCAAATCGTTCAAGAGAAAAATTGAGTACGATTGATAGATTTCGAAATCTGAGAATCACCAATAAATTACAAAAAATTGGTAAACTCTTAGAGATCTCCGCTCGTATTCTTGATTATAAAATAGTTCATGTTAAATTTGACCAGAGCAGTTAAAACATTTCCTGAGCCTTGATTAATTTTTAATCAAAGCTAACTACCAAAAAAACGTATAAGCAATTAAGATAAAATTTTTTGAGAATGGTGATTATTACTAAATAACCCGAATAATTAAAATACAATAAAAATGTTTTTGAAATTGAAGAATTGAGGACCCACACAATTTCATTTACTTTTGATACTGGTATAAAGAACTCACATTGAATAAGACTCTAACAAATTACTTTAATGAACCATTTGCGGCTTAATAAACTTATTCAATGCGATTTTGGTCACGAATATTATTTAAATTAGAATATATGTATATTATTTCTTGACCTAAGAAATGGAACCGCGAATTTATACACTCATTCGAAAATAATTTTATTGTAAGTTGTTAATATCAAAATTTTTCGCATTTTCTATTGTTACTATTGAAAAATGAAATCACCTTTACAAATTAGTTGATGTCAATAATATAAAAAATTTGAGTTTCTGCCTAGAGCTTGATGAAAACTCCAGTACTACAGGTTGATATTATTTGCAAAGGAGTACCAATTCAGAACGTATTCCCTTACGTCTGTTATAATCGGCTACATACTTGAGAAATGACATTTTTTCATCAAAATTCCAAAAAAATACATAGTAAACTGTAATTAAGGTATATTTTGTACGAAGGAATTTCAATATTGTCCATATTTTTGAATACTTGAATGTTGAATATTTAATTTAAAAAAATTTATTTTTGGATCTGTATAAAATACAACATTTTTATTTTTTTTTTTTTTTAAAATACCCTAAACAAACATAAATTTGATCACCAGTATTTATCCCATCCTGCCTACACACGCATATACTCATAATATATATTCATTATGTTGATAAAAAAAAACTGACAAACCAATTTTAAAGAGTTGAATTTTTCAATTTGATGCGTTTTAATAATTTTTGATGAATATATTGGCATATTATGGCGTCTTTTCATTTAAAAAAGGGTTAAAAATTCCTTTTTATTTCTTAGATTTCTGAGAACCTCAAAGTATGTTTTCCTTTTTATTTCTTCTTACCACACTCTAGATAAGGAAAGGCTTAAAATATTCAAAAAATTACATTTTTCCTGAATGCTTAGTATCCCGTATAACAATGAAATAATACAAGCTCATGGGAAACATTTTAACCCATAATCTTTCCTTTAAAAATTTTTCTACATAAAATATGAAATTTTAAAACTTATCCTTTTTATCCGTTCGTGTACCAGCATATACATATTTTCTTTTCCCAAAAGTTTTTAGATCACGAGACATGGATTTTCCGGTACAAGCATTTTTGTTTCTATTTTTCGTGAATGCATGAAAATTTGCGGGAATCCCTTCCGACTCTCATATGTACACGTGTGTCATATAATTTTTTTTTGGTTTTGGGTTACTTCCAAAACTAAAGCCCATTTCTACTTATATTTTTAGAGAACCAAAGGCACAAACTACAAAAATGGTGTCCCTATAGAATTAAATTTGTAGGAAATTAACCAACATTTCCACACAAATATATATGGTATATAACTATATACATACATAAATTATTTTTACACATTTTCATAATTCTTAGAGCTAAAATACAATTTGGAGGTTGCGTTCTTTATAGTAACAATTTATAAATGTTATTTTTTTATAAATATGATTTAAAATTAAGCAAAATAAATTTGTTTCTTGGTTTTATTAATATGAAAGGAGTTGAATATCCTCCTTTCCAAAATTTTATTTTTCAACAAAAATAATAAAAATAAAAAAATATTTTATATGTATTTAATAATCGTAGTCCGGATTACCACTAAGCTTATATTAAAACATGACATACATACAAAATTATAATATTGTACATAATGTACATAGATATATCTACGGTATATGAAGATTTCTAATCATAAATTAAGTAGAAAACGAGCAATAAATTAACGAATAATAAAAATTTACACTAATAAAATATGAACAGAAAATTTTTCTTTCATTTAAACCATAAATAGGCGAAAATTCAATTAATTTAGATAAAAATTTTAGTTCAGAAGAGGATTAAGTATGTTGCATAATACATATATAGAACATAATAGAGCTATTGTACCATTTCTCTACCGCTGTTTAATACCACGAATAACAAAATTGCCTTAAAACAACAACTAGATTTTATTAATTATTTGATAGTAGGCTATTTATACAATACAGTGAATTTTCATCTCCATTTCTCGTAACTATGTAACATACATGTTTATTTTTGTACATTTCAATAAAGCTATTACAAATTATTAAAGATGTACATTTAAAATTGCTAATTAAATAAAATATACGCAAATCAAAATACTACACTGAAATTGTGTCATTGAAATTGTACTATTAATGGCATTAAGTTACAATATAATGTATACACATATATATGTATGTATATGTACATATTAAGATAATATTTCAGCAATTTAATAATTACCTAACATTTCTATTTTTACATGTTATAACGATCATGGAATCCTTCTAATGAAATATTAAATTATCTTTTATACATTAAGGTACATAAAATTATTATATTTAGCTTTTTTTTCAAGGATTTCAACTTTAGATTTCCCATTTTTTGTTCAAGTCAGTAATTTACAAACTATACAAAAAAATTGAATAATTATTGTGTTTAACATGTTACTTTATGACATCGTTCAAATATTTTGTTTACTTTTATCATTAATAAAATACAGTGCAACTCGGATAATTGCACCTTAGTTCAAAATAAATACCTAATTCGAGCAAAAGCTTAATATTCTTTAGTCCCATAGATTTCTTGCAATTTAATAGTACTCGTAAAATACTCTGTTTTATTACAATTTGATTTATATCATAATAAAATAAAATTGTACGAGTTCGTTGCAATTGGAAAATGTCAAAAATTCAAAAAAATTTTAATTTTTTACTGCTTATTAAAGTATATTACATTTTGTAATTCCGTTCATTCTAATTTAACAAAAATATTCAAATGTCATGCCAAATATTCAAATACCAATTTTATACTAAACATTAATTGCTAAGTATGTAGTTCATGATTTTGCAAAATTGACATAAATTAAGTATTAGATACATGTACATGTACATTTCTACATATTAACGTTTCTGAAGTCTGTTGTTCTCACATGTTTGTTTTATTTAGAAATAATTTTAAGACATTGATAAAATTGAGGTGAAATATTTGTGTTACTAAACGTTTGGTAAGAAACTTACCACAACCATCAATAAGAATTTGTTAATATAACACACATAATTCTTTACATTCTCTTACCTGTTTTTAATTGCAATATTTCTGACATTTTATCAGAGTTTCTGTTATTCTCAACTTTTATATATTTATCAGTAGCATTTGTAATGTATGTATGCTTTCGGTAATCCGATAAAACTGTTAAAAATTTTTGATGTACAATTATCCGAATTCTACTGTATACAACATTTCAATAGTTGTGCAGTGCATCTTCAATATTTTAATATTATTAATCATTTTATAACTATGACAACATAAATAGATAAATTTATTTAAAGTCCGGTTATTCTAAAATTAGAAACATAAATGATAATTTTTTTTTATCTTTGCTTTGTGTTGCTCACTTGAAATCTTTCAAATATTTCTTTATTATTAAATTAAATATATAAAGAAAAATAAATATTGTGAATATAAGAAATACAAAAGCAATAGTTATAGCGTTTTAAAATTTCATGCGAAAATGTTTTGTGTTATATACGAATGCAATATACCGTCATTATGTCAAACCCATACATAAACATCATTGTACACTCAAGTAAGTAGTACTTCAAGTCACTTTTATCTATATAAATTCCAATTAAGAAATTTTTAAGAAAAAAAAATTGCAATTTTATTCTTAATTTTTCTTTTTCTATGACTGAAACTGAATTTAATTTTCATTAGCCTATAGAATTTCGAATTCCGTTCGAAATGTGTTGCCTAAAATGAATGAAGATTTGAACACTGAATTCAATAAGCCAATATGAAAACTCCTGGTTCTTTTAAAATTTTCATTTATTCTATTGAAATAAGATCTTTAAAAAGAATTTCATTAAACTTAATTAAGTCTTAGAAATATAGTGGATTTTTTTCATTTTTATAGAATAATTACTACAATCCAATAGTAGAGCAATGCAATTCTACTAGCTCAGATATAAATAACTAAATTTCACTCAAACCACAAAACTAATATCTAATAATCTTTATTATGCTTCGATTCTTTTTTAGTTATTGTCTCGTTTATCTATGAATACACCATTAAAATGATAACCTATGATTTTAGGAATTAAGTTATTTTTTCTTTATTAAAAGATTTTCATGATTTTTCTTCTGAGCAAAGTGTTGAAAAGCAAATCATTATAGTTGTTAGAATACAACATATGCAAACATACATACATACTTAGCACATTCTTATAATATTTAATTAAATATGCGATAAAATAAAACTTGGCTTCGGTAATTTATGGTTGGGCGTGAATTTCTTTTTATATTATAATGTTTATTTGTTTTTGTTGTTTCACAAAAACTTTTTCAAATTTTTAAGTGCAAATTTACATTTTTGTAAGCCAGACGTCCTTGGCATCAATCCAGGCGTCATCATATTGATATATTTATGCAATGCAGTTATTTGTCTTATAATATCGTATTTTTTTTTCTCCTAAGTTTTTTCCATACTTTCCATTCACTTTCAACTCATTAATTATTTAAAATACTATAATAAATCCCATCATTTTATATGATAATACTATGATATGGGTGATGATGATGAGATTATAATTTGTACACATATATACCTACATACATACATACCATATGCAAATAGATATCCAAAAAAAGATTTTTAATTTGCGAATTTATTTCTAAATAATAAATTTTCTTTTTGAAGTTTTAAAATTTAATCTAACCCTGAAATACTGTCACATAAATTTTACTTACGTTTTGTTTTGGAAACTGAAATTTAAATTAAAGTTAGGAAGATTGAAAGAACCTCTAACTCATTCTTCTTCGTTATTCTTTCTCTTCTAAGGAAATAAATTGAAATAATTGGAATTTGAGAACAAAATTATTTCCAAATTGAAATTTTTGTTACAATTGCAACCACGATGGATAGCATAAATTAAAATTAAAATCAGCGAAAGAATTGAAATTTAAAATTACGAAAACTACTTAATTACGAAGTAGTTAGTGAATGTTACTGTGAATGTGATCGAGCGGTTTTTCTGCATACACAATACACGTAGCTGGCATATTGTTTATTTTTTAGTTAATTGTTCTAAATCTCATAATGTATGATTTTGTAGCTCCTAATAATTAAAGAAAGCAATCAAATTTATGAAAACTACAAAATATAACAATCATATTTACTATTAAATATTAATAATTCAAATTAATTTAGTTTCAGATAGAGGTGTTTTAGATGCCCCACTTCCACCAAATGATGACGCACCCGGTGAAATGGGTAAACCAGTAGTACTGCCAAAAAATTTAACAGCCGATATACAAAAACTTGTTGATGACGGTTGGAGTAAAAATGCTTTTAACCAATATGTCTCTGATTTAGTATCAGTACATAGAAGTCTTCCAGATCCAAGAGATGCTTGGTAAGATTATTTCTTTTATACCGAAAACTAAAAATTATTAATATTTCTGTAATGCAAAAGTAAGAATGGGACAATCAATTTAATTGTAGATATGATTGCGTTTAATTTACATAAGTCCATATAATAAAATATAAAAGTTTTAAATTATTCTTCATTATTAAAATCTGAGCAATTACTTCAAACTGTTACTTTTAATAAATTTTGCATATTATTTTTATACCCTACTCCTCGGTGAAGAGCTTGATGGGTTCGGTTATCATTCAATTCTAAAAGCCGATTAGAAATAATTCAAAAGCTAATTGAAGTAATTTTGTGAAATCTGTTAAGAAATGCCGAATTATGTAGTTACGCCTCACAAATTCTGTTCAATTGTATTACTAATGGTTTTTATTTTACAATTAGATTGTCATAGTGTAGGGTAAAGTACAATCGACGCTTTTACTTGTTAAATATTTGCAATATCAATTTTACAAAGATAATAACACATAGAGTTATTTTGAAATTTTTAAAAATTTCAGGTGCAAAGAACAAAATTATTTAAAAAATTTACCAAAAACTGATGTTATAATTTGCTTTCATAATGAAGCATGGACTATTTTATTGCGAACAGTTCATTCAGTTCTAGATCGTTCACCAGAACATTTAATTGGAAATATTATTTTAGTGGATGATTTTTCAGATATGCGTAAGTATAACCTTATAATTTCAAACAATTTAAGCAAAAATTTCTGTAAATTATTCTGTTATAGCAAATTTATTCCCGTATTTTTTCAGCTCATACCAAAAGACAATTAGAAGAATACTTTATACCATATCCAAAGGTGAAAATTATTCGTGCACCAAAACGAGAAGGACTTATCCGTGCAAGACTATTGGGTGCTAGGCATGCAAAATCAGCTGTTTTAACATATTTAGATTCACATTGTGAATGCACAGAAGGTGAGTAGATATTTGTAAATTTTTATAAATTTTAATATCATCCTAAAAGTATGCAAAATTCTTTGTTATAAAATTTATACCTCAGGTTGCTATAAAATTTCCGATAACGGAATTTTGTCATATACTAATGCAAATTAGCAAAGTTCTTCAATTTTAAGAGCTCTGCTCAAAGTTAAGATTGTAGGATTCAAATGATTGAATAATGTTTGTATGAAAAAAACTGAAATGTTGTGATTAAATATGTTAATCATCCTAAAGAATTCCTAAGCTTTTTAAATTAAACAAAAAGCAATAAAATCTTTAAAGTTCCATTACTTTTATGTTGTACCGCAGCAACTGTAAAAACTGTTATACAAAACAAATTTCAAAGAAATTCTATATAAAATAAGTATGTATTTTAACTACAGTTTTGATACTTATATTCTATATAACAACTAAGGACTTAGTCCAATCGACTGCTAAACCTATTCTTTTACTTTAGAATGGAAAAAAACAAATCTTTGTACCTTTTAATAATTATTACGTCGAAAAAAAATTAAAAAAAAAGAGAAAAACTTTTCTCACATAAGTAAGAGCTTTTAATTTTTTCATTGCCGGAATGAAATTCCAGTAAATTTTTCACGCTTTAATAGCAATTATGTATACAAAAAATCCTTTGAGAATTATTTTACGTATACGTACTTTACGCAAAATTAAAAATTTTCTTTCTTTCTTAAATTTTATTTGTTTTTCAAAATCTGAAACAGGTCCATAATTAAATTTCACTTTGTCAACCAAAAACCATAGTCTCACACAGTATAACAATTATAAAATATCCTTTTTTCTTTCATATAATTTAATAATCTTTGTTTTTATATCATAAATTGTTTGCATATTTATAACAGTTACACATTTGTTACTGTTTGTTTTGTATTTAATTGTAAAAGAAAAAAAAATTTGGTTGTAATTAAAAATGTTACGCCATCAATTTTGTGAATGTAAAAAAGAAGGGAATAATTTTCAACATTTGAATGCTCACATTATGGAATCCATATACATACCCAAGTATGTATGTGTACTTACATACGTATATACGAATATTTTGGTATAATAAAAATAAACATTATTAAATGTTCTTTTTTATTATAATATACGATTCTTGTACAACGAAAGAACGTGTCTGTACCCATGTGAGTCCAATAAAAAATTTAAGTGAAGAAAATTTAAAAATTTTGATTACAAATCAAATATCGAATAAAACTTTATTAAAAATAGAAGCTGAAATTTTTTTCAAGAAAAATTAAATACAATTTTAATCATCCGTCTAGTACTGTTGTATTTTAGAGCGAGGCTAATTCAGAGCTCACAGTGCTGGCGTAAAAGAGTAGACGAAAAGATAAATTCTATTATCTTTCAACGCCACAATATTGGAAATAAAAATTGTAGCTATTTAATCGGAAGTTAAATTAACACTACTTTAATTAACACAAATGAACATAATATAATTAGTGTATCATTTATACATGTGTCATTACATCGTGTAAATAAACAGACATGATGAATGACAAGAGAAAAAAAATTGCAATAAATTATGTATGAAAAACAACAAAGAGACAAGTATAATATTATTTTCTGAAGTAAGAAATGGAAATGAAAATAAATATGCCTACATCTTGTAATTATTCAGAATTAATATTTAATTAAAATTCATTGTGAATGTATTGGAAAAATTAAATTTTACTTTTTATTTATTATTCGGTTACTTAAAAAAATTATTCACATTATATTCACATGGAATAGTATAGAGTAGAGGAATAGTATAGTATCCAAGCAAAAGGATCATGTCGAAAATTTGAAATTTTACAGTAGAAGAGAAAATTGTTTCTGAATATAAAATACCAGAGGGTTATATAATTTTTCTTTATAAAAATTCAAATTGTAAAATGAAAATCAGATGAATTTAAATAAAATTAAACAATTTTTATAATTTTATTATTTTTCATTAAATTCTGAATATAATTTTCATAGGTTTTGCAGAATATTCAACAAAAACAAATAAAGAGCTTGAGACCCTCTGATATATAGTTTTTATACCATGCAAATTTGCTCAAGTTCACTAATTACCAGAAGGGGCTCATTATCTAATGTATTTTAAAAATTCATATAATTTCTAATACGAGTAGAGAGCCGTATCAGTATTTTCTATTTAAATATAGAGTTTAGAATTTAATCAAACTTACATATTTAGATTTTTTAAGAAAGACGTAGGAAAAGTAATTATATGCTTTAAGGTGACAAATTGAACTTACTTTTAAAACAAAATTTTTACTGATATGCATACAAAATTTTTTGGTTACTTTACTCTCCGGTGCCAAAATGTATGTAAATAATTACATTAACTCTTTAGAATCACAAAGTTTTTGAAATATGAGTTTTCCGGCGAAACACAAAATGTTGCACAGAGGAGCCATTTTTTGGCACATATGTGTTGCGTTACAAGACCCATGCGTGCACAGGACCCATACACCTAAACACAATTACATATATGGAATAATTATTTGTATTTGCTTATACAATAAATTTAATTACTATGAAAACAGTTCTCTTTATTCTCAGCTTTACAATTCATGTAAAAAAAAAAAGATGAAATTGAAAATATTTTATAGCATTTTCTTAAATTTTCTCATTGTATTTATTTTCACTCTTACTTTCAATTTACTTAGAGCGGATGTGATTCCGTTATAAGAATAAATTTGATATTGATTTTTTGCCTCTTACTTTCTTATTTTTTCATTTTATTTATCCGTTTAATAAATAATTTTTTTTTTCTCTCTTTTTTTTCATAATATTTATCTTCATATTTTGAATTTCTCTGGATGCTTTCTAAATGTATTTCATCGGAAATCGGAAAAATTCTCTTCAACAATTCATTCAATCACCCGTTCAATCATTAATACCAAAAAAAAAATTATAAAAATAATGATAATGATAACAATATCATAATAATAACAATAAAAATAATCATGACTATGATAATGATGATACTGATGACTTATATTGATGTTGATAATTATTATGCCATTACTACTACTACTACTACTACTACTGCTGTTACTGCTGTTACTGATGACATTCTTATTATCTTTCTTTTTTAATAAAATCATCATAAATACTTTTGATTTATTGTAATGTCATAATAATATACAAATGATTTGGATATCAATTTGAATACAACAAAAACGAAAAAAAAAAACGAAATTTCAATATTCAATGAATCAAATGTGCTAAAATATACGGAATAATCTTGAATGACTATATAAAATTAATAAAAATCAGGCTGGCTTGAACCATTATTAGATAGAATAGCACGAAATTCAACAACAGTTGTATGCCCAGTTATTGATGTTATAAATGATGCAACATTAGAATATCATTATAGAGATTCGGGTGGTGTTAATGTTGGCGGTTTTGATTGGAATTTGCAATTTAGTTGGCATGCGGTACCAGAAAAAGAAAAACAACGTCATAAGGTACGTATTTATTTTTATGAAAATTTGTCTAATAATCATTTGTACATTAGAATATAAATATAAATCTATATATTGAAATAAATTTCCCACATAATGAAGACAATATTCTGGAAGACTGTGTTAAAACTCACAATTTTAAACAAGTCTTAGCTCAAGATGACACTATATACGTATATACAACCTTTAAAGTGTAGTGAATGTACATGATTATTTCGAAAACAATGTATGTACGTCTGTGTATTAAAACAATAATTTAGGTGGTTGAGAATTTGACCATTGCGGTGGCGACTAAGACATATTATATTTATAAATATTTGTATTTTTTGTATTATACAATTTACAAAATTTAGGAATAGAAACAAAAGTTCCTTAAAAAATTTCATTTATTCATTTTAAGATTTTGTTTGATTGCTTTTGGATTATTCTAATAAGATTTTCTTAAATGTAATTTCAAAACAGTTTTTTTTTTGAAAAGAAAATCCAAGTGAAAGCATGACATACAATTATTCAATGTAATTTTTACAAATAATCAAAGTAGTGACCAATTTCAAGTGAATTTGGATTTTCGGGAGCTGAAGAATTTAAATAGGAAGAAATTTAAAAATGTGCTAAAAATTTTTTCTTTCTAATTTTTAATAATTTTGCTCTTTAAGTTTTTTAACAAATTTAATTTGGTTTTATAAAAATTTCTAATTGAATCTCAAATACTCAAAGATGTTGTAGTCTAATATAATAAAACTTTATGGAAAAATTTTCGATTGTGTTAAAGCTCAAATGCAAAAATTTCATAGTTAGCACAAAATAAGTATTCATGTTTCTCAACTAGTGCACAATGAATTAAGTTCATAATACGTCATCTAAATATAATTATTGTAAATATAATTAAAACTGCTTGCATATGGTGGAAAAGAAACTGTCGGCATTTTTGAATACAATATGCTTGTGAAAGTATTTTCTTTAAAATCTGTGCTTACGTACTTAATTTCTTAGAATCATAAAATAATTACTTAATTTTATTTAATAAACTTCTTTTAAATAACAAAAACAATAATATTTGTTTAACAATGAAACATTTTCCATTTCATAAAAAAAAAAAAAAATGAAAAATGACGTGTTAAATATTTTATGAATAATCAGATTTTTCCATTAATTTAGTTAAAAATAAACTAAAAAACAATGAAAATCTGATAACGTTTGGAAAAAAATTTTTTTATCCTTCTCTCTCTCTATAATATGAAGTCTCATTCAATAAGGATTAAATTTATTTTTTTCTAAATTTTTATCTTTATTTTTTTTATGCTTTTTGTGTGTTATTCTTCTTAAGATTTGCTTCACTTAAAATAAAAATTTTTTTAAGGAAAAATTTTCATTATCCCTATAGAAACAAATATTTGAATTTCTGTATTTTTTTTATTTATTTAACTCACTTGATGTTCTAGGATTAGGAAATACTAGAAATTTAAATAGGACATTTTTCTTTTGATTATAGTATGGGGTGAAATATTCAACATCGCAAGTTTTTATGAGGAACAATGATGGAATAAATTATTTATTATTAGAAAACCAAATCGTGCTCACATTTTCTTGCTTTAAAGAAAAAAGTTGTTCAAATTTTAGACAAATTTTTTTCTAAAACTCGTATATCAAAACTGACAGAGATTTTGAATAATACTAATTTAATTCTAGCTATAGAAGAACTAGCTATTTTAAAATTAATATGCAGTTTAGATCAATATTATACTTTGTTAATTCAAAAATATAAACCTAAAATAGTATGAAGCCATTTTACGATTTTTTCGAATATCACTCGGATTAATATTACACACTAAAGAGCTGCAGCTTTCATTAAAACGCTTTCACCTCGAAGTAAGATTTAACAAGGATCTTTTTTTATTGAAATAAATTTTTCCAATTTTGTACAATTCTTGGAATTATTTTTAAATCCAAAGTATGTAAAAATATTATTTTCACAAACTATTTTTGACACAAGTAGAAATATTTAAATATTTGCTCCTAGTACCACATTTCTATTTTCATTTTAATTTCATTTTTCTAAGTTTGTAAAATTCTGTAAGGTTATAAATTGTAAAAATATATTATAATAAATGTAAAAAGGCTCATGTTTGTATATGTACATGTGGATTGAAGATGTCTGAAGAATGAAATAAAATTAAATTAAATTAATGTAATTGGGAAAATTGCGACGACTAAAAATTCTCATCAAAGAAAGTTGTGATTTTATAATCATTTCAGTCATTTGATGTTGTTAAATTGTCTTCTGTCTAAACTTTATTCAAACATACGTACGTCATTAATTTAGTGTTTTGAATTAATTTAAAAAGCTTTCTTAAACATACGAAATAAGATAAACTTCAAAATAACCTTTGAAGCAAACTAACACTGAAATTTAGTTAAAAATATTATTTTTCATCCATTAAAATTGAATTCGCATTTCAATAATTTTTAGTCTCTACTATAATTTAATTAAAAGTCTTTGAGAAGAATCTTCTGCAATACTTTCCAATGCTAATATTTCTCATAGCTTCGTTTAAGACGTAATTCGTTTTGCAACTTTTAACGTGGCTTCAATATCTATCACAATATTACTATATCTATTAAAAGAGCAATTAAAAAATATTAATTAAATTATTAAATTATTCCAAGAATAAAGTTGAAATTTCAAAGCCAGACTACGTTTATTAATTTCTGTTCAAAATCGCAAATGTAATTAATAAAATGTTTAAAGAAAAACATAATGTTGCTTTTCTGTAAAATGCTTTTACAATATTATAATTATGACCTCCATAATTTTACTTAGATTGATTTAGCATTTTTATTCTTTCTATATTATTTTAATTCTATTTGAATTTAACTGTGTCTAGATCCTTTATGAAAATATTTCATTGTACGACTTTCACTTCATGTTTTATTATTCTATAGAGGAAAGCAACAGAATGCAACAAGACGTTTTTTTTAAATTACTTTTATATTTGCGATTTTATTTTATATGTAATTTGTTTTTCAAGAACAGAGCCTAGTTTAACTTAAAAACTCCTTTGAGATTTACCACGCTTTATAATAGTTTTGTTTTCACCGCACATCTTTTGAACTATTCTTAATATGAGGAATATAGAATACGATTTATATCAGAAAATAGGGGAAAAATCTTCTAAAAGATTCGCAATATTCTTTAATTATAATTTGGAGGGGATTATAGTACATTCCTATATCAACGGATCAGCGAATAGGGAAGCAATTAATTACTGCATATAAAAATTGTCGAGCTGTTTATGAAAATTTTTTATAGTACGTTATGAAATAACGATGACATTTTGTTACGCCAGACTTTATAGCCACTCCTTTTAAGGTGAAAATAATGAAAACGTGATTTTATTGAATTAATTCTTTTTTGACCAAATAGTATATATTGCATATTTTACGGAAAATTCTTAATTATTCAAAATTTTTTTTTCTTATATAAAGATTTAATTTGCCTCTTTGCTATCTTAGTTAAAATATAAGAATATATTATTATTGGCGAAGAAGATATTACTATTGAATTCTTAATTTCCTTAAACCTCAACGAAATTTTTAAGGTTTTTCAAAAAATTTCAAAGAAAATTAGTGAAATGTTTTTTGTATGGTGTTCTAATATTGAAAACTATAGCAGTCAAACGCTAAAATCGGTTTTTCTTAAAAAAAAACTAAACAATCATTTATTAAATCAATTAAATCACGTTGAACATTAGATGCAAATCTTTTTGGAGTGGAATATACATAGTTATTTATACTGAATCGACGGGTTATATCCCAGCTATAATATGGTCGGCAGTATATATCTATAAAGATTCTTGCAGTTTTGAAACTTATACGAATTTTCGTGTAGTTAAATTGACAATTAATTTAAAAATTAGTTAAAAATTCTACCATTTGCAAATCGTTTTTATCTGTTATATAAAAAAAAAAACAAATATTGCGTTTACGCCCTTTGGAATTTGCATATGATTTGAACACAGTATAAGTGACAGCTCGTACTTTCATGGCTTTAAAGAGTAATTATGATTCAAAAGTAAAAGTAGAAGGCTACGAATTTTTTCTTAAAAAAATAATATTTTCCATCTTTAAGAATGTATAAGTCATTTTTGTAATTAAATCTGACAATAAATATCTGACAAAATTAACTGTCCTATTTCTATGTGTATTTTTAAAGTGTCAACAGATTTATTAGCATACAGCATTAACATAATTTTATTTATTTTAATTAAAAATTCCTTTTCAACATCATTTTCCTAATATTAATAGAGTTGAATTGACAGTTATGAGCTTATAAGATTATTTTATTCCCCCTCTATTTAAATAAAAATTTCTAATATACTCTAACAAGTTATAATTTGAAATTGGAGCGTGTATATGAAATGCAAAAATCATGCGAAGAACCTTCAATGTAATATGTGTATAGTATATGTGTGTATATTAAAATGCATTCAAATGCACTAAGATTCAACCCTAATAAAGTAATTATTGCATAATTCAACCACATCATTATTATTTTAAGCTTTAAATTTTTTTTTTTCGCTTTTTACAAAAAAAAACTTTCAACAAATTTTAACCCTTACTATACAGTTAATAGTAGAGCGTAATGTAATTACATATTATGTCATATTTAATTTTCACTGAAGTGCAATTATAACTGTGTGTAACTATGTGTAATTAAGTAAATAAAGTTGACATAATTTTTTTTTCGTTAATTCACTACAAGAACTTAATTAAATTATATTTATAATTAATAATTAATTACTAAACACTAATTGTTTGAGTTTTAATATTCATCAAGTTTGACCGAGTATTTTATTCTTATTATTCAATTGAATACGTGGGTCTAAAAACAATTATTAGGAATGTTTATTAATTTAACTCTGAACATTACATTACATTTTAGTTCATTTAAATCTGAATAATTATGACAATCTTATAATGGGTACATTTTTTTTTAAATTTTG